GGGTCAATTGAAAAGGATTAATTCTTCTCCACCATGATACCTGACTTCATATCTCACAAATGATCCTACACAAATTAGACAAAAGCTAAAAATGACCACACCCAACTTTGCTAGACTTTTCTCCAGTTAGCTATTATTTTTTTTGTTCAAGCATCTTCACAATTAACCTGCAAGAGATGGTCTTCAAAAACCAAGCAGCAATTCAAAAATATCTTTGAAGAATTCATCAGCACCAATATGCCAGAATGCTATACTACCAGAATAGGCTTGTTTATTGCTGGCAAAAATGCATAAATTCTCAGGAATCTTATTTTGATTAAGTTGACACATTATATATATATATATAGTCATCCACAGACAGACTGTTTTGCTGTATCACAGCTCATCAGTGTGGCTAGACATCCAGTTGCCTCTAGATAGGATCAAAACCTGACTGAATTGGCATCAGTTGGAGATTTTACCACTAAGCCATTGGCGCATGGCAGGGATGAAGGTGAATTTAAGTGTATTTATTTAGATAAACACACAGTGACTGAGAGAACTCAATTCGATTTAAAAAAAAGAGTCATGCATTATTAGTCATAATAGTCACCGTTTACATACCCACACTTCCTCCCCAGAGAGCTCAACTGAAATAAATTTTTCAGGAGCATATTCCTGGTTAAAAAAAAACAAAAAAAAACAAAAAAAAAAAATTATTTTTGTACCAAAATAATAAAATAATGCTGGAAAAGATAAAAGGAGTATCTAATATTTTAGCCAAGATATAATTCAGATAAAGGCAGAGCAGTAAAAACGGTTGGCTGGTCAATGAAAGCGACACAACATTCCAATCAGCACCAAATGATCAAAGAAAATATCCGAAATCTCATTGTAAACATACGCGATCTTTGCACAAGCTCTCCACTGACCAGTCAATGATTACCCCATGTTGCATTTTGATTCTTGATCTCATCTGTGTACACCAAATACTGGGAAAGGGTCTGCTGCAACCCACAAGGTAACACGATGAAAGATAAACACCATGTCAAGAAGACAATAGCTTTTGTATGGTCACTTATGTTAAGTAATGTCAAGCTTGGTGAGTCCCTAATGGGTGACCACTTGTGAATTCTATGTGCTTTAAGTTTGGATGTGCAGGTGGTGCAATATATAATCACTTAATTGGAGAGCAGAGTTCCAATTGGGTTCATAATATTCTCTTATGTGCAAATACCCTTGGGAAATGTATAAATCAACCTCTTCTCCCCTCAGCTATGGGTTTATTAGTAAGACTATCACTAAACCATTATTATCTTTAAAAAAAAAAAAAAAAAAAAAAAAGTAATAAATAAATCAATCTTACAATCTAAAAATATTTTCTGGGTTTAAATAATCTGCAAAGAGTTGATAAACCATAGAAAACGGATCAATCATTTGTCTGGGTTGGTAGGTCGCTGATACTTGGGACAATTATGTTGGTCTAACAACTCAGCTCTTCTCTCCTACCAACTCCTTGCCCATTTAGACATCCTGACATGTGGCTGGCAACACAAATAGACAGCAGTGGAACCACATTATGGTCAAGTCTGTTTCCTGCCAAGGGTGGGCCAGAACTGACACTCCAATCACAAACAAGACTGTTCATATAGACTAACACCTGGAAATAATCAATGTTTGGTTTGTTGTTGCTTGGTCTCAAAAAACCCCCTCACCCACTCCTTTACTTCTCCACTGGTGAAAGTGGATGCCGCTTAGAAAAATGGACTTCAAAAAGAAACATCTGCTGGCTATCAAACAGAAAAACTTGAAATAGAGATAAAAGCACTTTTTTTTTTATGTGGTTGTCCATAGTATCACACGTTGTGCATTGTGCAACATACATACACACAAGAGTGTGTGGGAGGATGCAAGAAAAAACAGAGTGAGAAATTTCCTTGGAGAGGTAAAAATATATCTAAGAATAAGCTTGAACCAGAAAAAATGACAGTGTATTGGTATCAAAACACACACACACACACAATTTTCTCACGCTACCTATGATGCTATATCTCACCTTTTTTATGTTTGGAAATAAGGTGTGTCTTGGTTTGCCCAGAGAATGAGATGAGTGATATTTTTTTTATCCATCATATGTACATTGTTATACCAATAGGTGTTATGTCTACAATCAACAGTGTTTGTTCAACCACAGTCTTTTACTGCCATATCTATGGCCCTGAAATCTTCCAGCAGATAATTTTGCATAATTAAACTCATCTTTTAATACTCCATCAAACCAACCAACAATGCAGCATTGTTCCATACTATTAAAAACTACAAGAATTTTCAATTTGGTTAGCAGAACATTTCTCAACCATTGTTTCCTAGAACCATAGTCTTACAATTGGTTCATATGGATCCATCTAGTAGATAGTAATAATAAACATAATTCTGCTTGTGATTTCCTTAGTTAGCTTATACACTGTGCCCTGCCAACAACTCATAAATAATGGACTATTCCATTTTGATCATGTCGAAAGACAGAAAAGACATATCAGAGACACTACTTGGTTTCAGTGAGAAAATGAAATAAAAGGTTTCAATGAAATAGCAAAGTTATCAATTTCAAATCTTTTTGTTATACCCCCTTACCAGCATTCATATTTCTGATTGTTACAGCAATCTTTTCTTGTTCTGCTCAAATATTTAACAATGCAAGAGGAATTTCTAACTTTATTGTCAAAGAACTTATGAGCTTATTCCATCATTAACTTAAGAATTAGGATTCACAAGAAAATTCAAACTAGAAAACTGTGAAATTTTCATGGTTATTTCTAGCAAAAGAAAATGGAATTAACAATATAGATCCTTGAAGAAAAATAATTTCATTAGCTCAAGTGTGTGTGTGTGTATATATATATATATATATATATATATATATATATATAAAAAAAAGAGCGAGAGAGAGACAAAAAAAGAGGGAGAGAGAGAGACAGAGCAAAAGATTTATGGGAGAGAGAGAGACAGAGCAAAAGAATCATGGAGAGAGAGAGACAGAGCAAAAGATCATGGAGAGAGAGAGACAGAGCAAAAGACAAGGGAGAGAGAGAGAGACAGAGCAAAAGAGGTCCAAGGGAGAGAGAGAGACAGAGCAAAAGACGGCGGGAGAGAGAGAGACAGAGCAAAAAGACGGGGGGAGAGAGAGAGACAGAGCAAAAAGGGAAGGGAGAGAGAGAGACAGAGCAAAAGACGGGTGGAGAGAGAGAGAGACAGAGCAAAAAAGGGGGAGAGAGAGAGACAGAGCAAAGAGACACACGGGAGAGAGAGAGACAGAGCAAAAGACGGGGGAGAGAGAGAGACAGAGCAAAAAGACGGGGGGAGAGAGAGAGAGACAGACTAAGGGAGAGAGAGAGACAGAGCAAAAGACGGCGGGAGAGAGAGAGACAGAGCAAAAGACGCCCAAGGGAGAGAGAGAGACAGAGCAAAAAAGACGGAGAGAGAGAGAGACAGAAAAAGACGGCGGGAGAGAGAGAGACAGAGCAAAAAAAGACGGGGAGAGAGAGAGACAGAGCAAAAGACGTAGCGGGAGAGAGAGAGACAGAGCAAAAGACGGCGGGAGAGAGAGAGACAGAGCAAAAGACGGCGGGAGAGAGAGAGACAGAGCAAAAGACGGCGGGAGAGAGAGAGACAGAGCAAAAGACGGCGGGAGAGAGAGAGACAGAAAGAAAAAGAAGGGAGAGAGAGAGACAGAAAGAAAAAGAAGGGAGAGAGAGAGACAGAAAGAAAAAGAAGGGAGAGAGAGAGACAGAAAGAAAAAGAAGGGAGAGAGAGAGACAGAGCAAAAGACGGCGGGGAGAGAGAGAGAGAGCAAAAGACGGCGGGAGAGAGAGAGAGACAGAGCAAAAAGACGGCGGAGAGAGAGAGACAGAGCAAAAGACGGATGGGAGAGAGAGAGAGACAGAGCAAAAGACGGCAGGAGAGAGAGAGACAGAGCAAAGACGGAAGGGGAGAGAGAGAGACAGAGCAAAAGACGGGGAGAGAGAGAGACAGAGCAAAAAGACGGCGGGAGAGAGAGAGACAGAGCAAAAGACGGGAGAGAGAGAGACAGAGCAAAAAGACGGTAGGAGAGAGAGAGAGACAGAGCAAAAGACGGGAGGGAGAGAGAGAGACAGAGCAAAAAGACGGAAGGGAGAGAGAGAGACAGAGCAAAAGATCAAGGGAGAGAGAGAGACAGAGCAAAAGAAGAGGGGAGAGAGAGAGACAGAGCAAAAGAGGGAGAGAGAGAGAGAGAGCAAAAGACGTATGGGAGAGAGAGAGACAGAGCAAAAAGACGCAAGGGAGAGAGAGAGACAGAGCAAAAAAGACAGGGGAGAGAGAGAGAGACAGAGCAAAAGACGGCGGGAGAGAGAGAGACAGAGCAAAAGACGGCGGGAGAGAGAGAGACAGAGCAAAAGACAGCTGGAGAGAGAGAGACAGAACAAAAGACAGCTGGAGAGAGAGAGACAGAACAAAAGACAGCTGAGAGAGAGACAGAACAAAAGACAGCTGGAGAGAGAGAGACAGAACAAAAGACAGCTGGAGAGAGAGAGACAGAACAAAAGACAGCTGAGAGAGAGAGACAGAACAAAAAGACAGCTGGAGAGAGAGAGACAGAACAAAAAGACAGCTGGAGAGAGAGAGACAGAACAAAAAAGACAAGGGAGAGACAGAAAAAAGACAGAGGGAGAGAGAACAGAGCAAAAAAGACAGCGGGGAGAGAGAGAGACAGAGCAAAAGACAGCGGGAGAGAGAGAGACAGAGCAAAAGACAGCGGGAGAGAGAGACAGAACAAATGACAGCGCTTACCTGCAAACTTCATCGGAGTCATCCTTGATCTGTTTTGTCCTTCGAACTCCTAATCGATGGGACTCGGGAGTCATGGCTTTCTCTCCAGCAAGATTTGTACCAGAAATGTCCAGAGATACAAGATCAGGAAGACCATCCATGAGTTTTGTAAGAATTCTTTCAGGGTCTTTGTAATTTGTGGGAACTCTTTGATCTAGCATGCCCAAATCAAGATGTCTGGTGAAGATAGGCAAAAGTGTGGGTCGAGGAATAGAAAATAAAAAAAATAACTCATGAGATTTATCATATTCAAACATAATGTAAACTGCACAAACTTTTCTATCAATTACCTGAACAAACATTTTAGATTTCAGACTCTGAGAGCAAGATTTTTTTTCTCAGCATATAATACACCTTATTTCAAACATTTGGCACCATTACCCCTGAATACAAAGAATTAATATTAAAAATTAAAAAGAAATCAAACCATTAAACCTAAGGGATTCATTCTTTATATTATTACTATAAGCACATCCAGGGAAGGAGGTGACGATTTTTCCCATACAAATTTAAATACCATCAACCCTGTAGACTCCTTTCAAGGATAGAACCACAGCCTTCACACACTAGCTGTTGCAACTGTGGTTTCCATAGCAAATAAGTTTTTATCCAGTGAAGCTAGTAGCTCTATGCCTAAACAGTTTTGAATTTAGAGCTATCCACTTCAGAGACTGATTATTAACCAAAGGTGGAGATCCCACTTGGCATTGTTGTTGCTTCAAAGAGAGTCACAATCAAGCAAGCTTCTCTTTGGCCTTTAAAGTACATTCACCTGTTCAGAATTTTCTCGAAACACGTATCTGCTCAGTTTCAGATCTGAAATGTAAACAAGGCAATTTCTAAATTACCAGAGGAGAATTTTTCAGTATGACCTCTGAACGCTTATAAAGTTGTTTCCAATATTAAGGAATTAAAATTTTCTGATTCTAGATTTTGATAAAAATTGCATTCAGTATTCTTAAAAACTTGTCCTACCTTATGGTAAATTTGCATTTAAAAAAAAAACAAAAAAAAAACAAACAAACAACAATAACTTTAAAAAATTTCAATAAAGAAAGTTAACAAAATCTTCATTACACAAAAATGTTACAGGATCCAAAATTATGACAAAATATTAAATGGACATCTCCATTAACATTTACTTATACAGGATATTAAGACATCTACAGGTCATTGATTTTCATTACCTTTGCACATATTACACCACAGGACTTTACTAATTTGTCACATTATTTAGGGGCTTATGATTACATCACATTCAAACCCCAGTTTCTGTATGGTCAGCAATGTTGAGCCTGGTCAGTACCTAGCTGGGCAACTGCTTTCGAATATCATGTTCTGTAAGCCTGGATGTGCAGATAGTGTAATGGATAATGTCTTTTACGCACTGTGATTAATTTTCCTAACATTGTCCTGGTATATAAAAATTTCTCTCTCCCTCTACATAGATATAGACAAGTATAGGATTGGCGTATACGGAATAAATTCCCAATAATCAAAAATTACTATTCTTAAAAAAGTGCTTAATACAGAGTAGAGCAAATATAATTTATTCGAAAATTCTAACATAAATTTTATAAAATCACTACAAAAATAGCCATTTTATCAAGTGCTTGTGTTGAATGTTTTTTACATTCAACACCACTTGATAAAATGGCTATTTTTGTAGTGATTTTATAACATATTCAAGTTATAATTTTCAAATATATATGTGGGTGTATATGTAGTAATCCATTGATATAATCCAGGTAAGTCATATTAATACAACATAGAATTTGAAATCTGTTAAAACTGACTCACAAAATAGCACTCAATGTTTATTTTCATTAAACAGAGCAAACTTCCTTTACAATTGGAATTAAGATACCTTTAGTTAATGACCCAAGAATTTTAATTTTAAAATTCACAGTATTATTCAAACTGTTTATGGTAACAGTTTGTAGTGGGATACGGGTTAGTTAGGGAAAGAAAGGGAGAGAGGGCGTTATAGGGGACTTAGTGAGAGATATGGCAGAAGATATGGCACCATTACAGGAATTATAGAGGTAGGAGAGCCTGGGTAGGGGAGGGAGGTGGTAAACTGATGAGCTGACCTACATCCTAATGGTGACATGGCCAAAGTTTGATTCAACGGGAATCTGCTGATTGGTGTTACGATTGTGTCTAGCATGAAACAGTCTGTCACCTCTGAGCATTGACTTAAAGTTCACTTTTATATTTACATACACTATCTCTGATATTGAGCACTTTATCCCATAAATATAGCAAATATATATATATATATATATATATATATATATATATATATATATATAGTGACAGGTTGTTTTTTTTTGTTTTTTTTTAATGTAGTGAGTTCCTGAGACCCACAGGTGATGATTTGGGTGTGTCTCCGAGATATTCAATGGGTTGCAACTAAAGTTTCCTAATGTATTTTTGTGTTAAAAAGACTATTTTTTGTTGCTGAAAATTTCTTTTGAGCCCAGTTAAATGTTATTTGAACAGTGAACCTGAATGTTAAATACAACTGTCTCTGCTTGTTAAATATTTTGCACTCATAGTTTTAAAAAGTAATTTAACAAAAATACAAAAAAAAAAAAAAAAAAAAAAAAAAAAAAAGAAGTGTTTTTTAAAAAAAAAAAAAACAAATAAATAAAAACAAATAGATAAATACCTATGTACTAATTACCATCAATATCTAGTTCATTTGACAAATGATTCGTATTTGGTTACAGAAAGAATATACTACTTACATTTTAATTCTGATGTCATTGTTTATTTGGTATCAACCAACAAAAATTCCTTATACTATGTTAAAAAATGAGCATACCATGTTGAAAAAATGCCCCAAACTTAAAAACAAAATTTTATTGTCAAAATCTTTGTTATTAAGAGAAAGGACCAAAGGGTTTTTTTTATTATTAAATTATATTTTTGGATTTTTTTGTTTTAGAACATTCAAAATTTTGGTTGAATTTTTTTTTTTTTTTTTTATTAGAAGGGGAACCAAAGTTTAAAATAGGAAATTTTAGCATCCTTGTTTGGAAATTCTTGCAAAAATCAAATAATTTTCAGACTTTAATGAAGCTTTAAGGACTTCTCCATAAATTAATTATTTTAGAAATGTTGCTTTTTTTGAAAAATCTTGGTAAAAATTTTTTTTATTTTTTTATTTTAAACATCTGTCACTCCCACTTATTTAATTTTATGAAATTGAGAAATTAATTTTTGTACTGCTAATGTTTAAATTAGTTATAAGCAGAAATACTTGGACAATTTAAATCATTATTTTTTTGTAGAATAAGGACATCCAAATATTGAAAATCTGCTCTGAATTGTAAAATAAAAAATGTACTAAAAATAAGACATTTAATTAGAAAAGCTTTTAATTGCTTTTATGAATAAGATATATGAAGGACACTATTGTCTTAAGAAAAAATAATTTTTATAAGAATTGTTTCCATTTTTTAAATTTCTGTATTAATTTGTACTGGAGAGGTGGTATTTTTATTAAGTAAAAATTATATTTACTAATCATAAATGGAAATGCTTACCAACCTCCCACCCAATATTTTAAAAAGATTTTTTAATTTTTTTTGTGTGTGTATAAATGTGTCAATTTTTGTAAATATGGATGACCATACACAACATTATCAGAAAATAAGAGCAATAACTATAGTAAATTTAAAGCCGAAGTACCTAAAATTTAATAAAACATTAGATTATTGAATATTATTTTCCTAAAGATTTATTACTGGGTATTTAAAGATTATATAAAAAATGCACTTACGTTAAATTCTTCAAGTAATTTTTATAGTTATGTCTGATGTAGAAAAAAGTTAGATAAATTTCTATCTGTCAACACCTATCAACGTGTTAAAAAAATTTCTGTGATATTTTAAAGTCAGTAATATTTGTTTCAAATCAGATTAATTAAACTTTAAATCAGCTAATAATCGTTAAATGACGTTCAAGAAAAGTAAATTTTATTTTTGAAAAATTCTTTTAAAAGACTTACATTGCGAGGACAGATGGCTAAAAATGGCGCTAAAATCAGTGATTTTCCGCATTATCAAAGCAAAAACTACTTGCAGTCAATTTAAATTAGTCTTGAAATACAGCAAAGCATTTTGCTTATTGAAAATACTAAATTTAATCTATAAGCTTGAAATTAAAGTTAAAATAGAAGCTTCAAGAAAAATTTTTAATTTTTAAAAATTCATTTTAAACCTTAAGTATTGTGTTTTTGTGGAGGTACTATTGTATTGCGTCTGTTCGAGATAATGAAGGGAAATAACTAAAGAAAACAAATTCGTAGGTAAGTAATGAAATGGAAGATGTACTACACAAAGGTACACTTAGGAATTGACCTAATGCTAACTCTCCCAACTCCACTATTTACAAAAACAGACGATTCCATTCATTCATGTCTTCTATAACAGGTACTAACTGTTATTAGTCAGTTTTGTGCAATGTATTGCTTTTCATGGGAAACTTTAGTTGCATCCCCATGATGGGAAAGTTACTGTGGTGCCAGGGATGCAGGATACACCTATTAGAATGTGTGTGTGTGTGTGTGTGTGTGTGTATCCCCCACCATTTCATCAGTAGCACAACTCTGACACAATGCCATCTTTAGGTGCTATTATTTTTACAACATGCATGATTTTCTTAACACCAGCACTCAATGTGTGAGGGGATATATATATATATATATATATATATATATATATATATATATATAGAGAGAGAGAGAGAGAGAGTACGTATATGCATGAGAGGAAGCGTTATTCTGTTAGACAGCATAGATGACTGATCTGAAAGATGACAAAAACAACCCAACCCACCTTTTGTTGAAAGAACTTTGCTACACACAGTCTCAACAACAAAATACGAATACAATTGCATATGTATACGTGTTTGAACAAATGGATACATGTCTGTGCCTGGTCCCACGTTTTTCATATATGTATGTGTTTGTGTGGACCATAATACATACACCTGTATGCATGTATGTACACATGCGTTTGAGTGTCCTCCCAAAACGAACACAGATTTCCCCTACTCACCAAATATAATCAAACAAAAAACGACATAAATAGCTTCAAATTTTAAAATTAAATCAGTTTGTCTGATGATCACAAAAGCGTGAAACCCAGGGTTTCTCTCTCTCTCTC